TAAATGCTATTGAAACATGTATTGATCTATGGTGTTTTAACATTGTCATGGTTGCATCTATTACTGTCAGAATTTGGTTTTTCATGCTAAAAACTTGTTTGTATTTGTTTTGATAAGTAGTAACTTTCATTAAAAATAATATAAATAATTAGAGTTTTATGTTGGCATTGTAATGACTAAATTGTTACTATCATGACGTTCATTGACGGGATTAACCAACCATACTCTTTACAAATTGCAGAAACCCTTAAAGATTGGCCCTCGTGGTATCGTGATTGTCGAGCTGTGGATGTTCTGAATGTGCTCCCCATAGCAAATGGTGGAACCATTGAGCTTCTTTACATGCAGGTAAAGCAACTCAAATTCAGTGTCTATGAATGATGACTTTGTAACATAACATACTGTGGATATCTTATTTGCATATTTTCTTTTCATGATCAACTATATGCGCCAACCACATTGGCTCCTGCACGAGACTTATGGTTGTTGCGCTACACATCTGTTTTAGAAGATGGAAGCCTAGTGGTAAGTCAATGTAAAAAACCTTTAATATTTCTATTTGATTCGATTGTGTAGTCAAAAACAGATATCTCTTATGTGCAATGCCCAGTTCTATTGGAGGGTGAATTAGTTGATTCAATTTGGTCTTCATGTATTCACCAATAACCATCCAGACATGACCTTTTTTTTCTCTCCTCCATGAATGCACTCATGTAGACCTCCACATAAACCTTCACAACACATTAAATAACCCTTCAACTCTGCAACGATTTCATCTACCGCTACGACACAACCTTGTGGTAATGATTGAAACATTTTCTATGGCGTGAATGTTGCATTGCTGTTTCACTCTACTGCTTGCGCAATATTTTTGTCTTGTTACTGTGATTGTTAGATTTGACTTTGATGATTTGTTTGGTTATTGGATTTCGGTTGAGGATTTGAGCTGAATCTGGTTTTAAATTTATGTGTTTGCTTTACATGTTTTAAGTTGTTGTTTTGTGCTGCACTTGTTTATGATATTAGCCACTGTTAGTATTGGACTTTGTAAAAATTTTGAGCTCTAAGTTTTTTCCCTTTCACCTGCTTTGATTCAGTGGTATTTGTTTGTTTTTTAGAATATTTTTTAAGTCAATTGAAAGATTTGTGCTCTACTGCTAATAATAGTGTTGTGGTTATGTTAGTGATACTGCAACATAGTAAAGAATATGCTTGAAATTTTATATTTATCATTATAGTTATTTGCATGTGTAGTAGAAATGTTCATGTATCTTTAAAATATTATGTTTATCATCATGAGTATTTGTAAGTGTAGAAAAATATAATTGTTTTACAAATTGAAATGTGACAGTATTTGTATGTGTAGAAAAGTAGTTTTTTTTTCAAATTGAAAAAAGCTAATAGAGATTTACGTTTCGTAATCGACACTATATAGTAACTTTAAAAATGTCATTTAGTACAGAATATTACTGAAACAGTATGTGATGTTGTGTGAAAACTAGCTGATGCGAAAACAGGTTAGAGTTAGTTTTGGATGAAAAGATACTGTGAGTCAAGTTATGTGTTACAAACTGTGATGCACATTATATATATGACAGAAGAATAGTCCTGGTACTTTCCTAAGTAGACAACATTGCCATACCAAATATTAAGAAGGGCATACAACTCATTTCTCTTTTGGTCATCACCTGTTTTGGTCTCTACTGCTACGTTTGGAGCGTGTTATTTTCTTAACGTTCCTTTTCATCACCTGTGGCACTTAGTTTTTTAAATCTTGAATTTCTTTTGTGAAGGTTTTTGAAAGGAGCTTCCAACAATGATTAAGCAGGGAAGTCACAATTACTCTGAGAGTGATGATACAATGCTGGTGATTTAGTTCAGTTTTCATGAGTATGTTGAGGATATATTAGTTTATAATGAATTTGTAATATAATGTATCACTTTATTACTTGAATGATGATGGAATTGTAATATAATGTTAATACTTTATCACTTGGATTATGATAGAAATATAATATAATTAAAATAGTTTATGATCCCTTAATTATTTTAAGTATACTGAATGAAATTTAATGAGTATTAATTTGATGAGTGTTGCAGGAATGATAGAATTCATGTTAGAATTTATTGGTCCAAACCGATTCAACCCAACCGAATAAATCATTTAAACCGATAATCCGCCAACCGATAAAACCGAACTTAGTCTTGGGTGAAATTGGGTTCAACTTTTTCAACCGTGGATTAGTTCGGGTTAACTATTTTGAACCCGAACCCACCCATAACCGACCGTCGTCCACCCCTAACGAAACTTATCTCGATTCAGCCTATTTTCATCCCTAATGGTAGTAAATTGTTGAATCCATATTTCCTAGGGAGACATGAATTATTTCATTGGCTTCTTTTCTCCATTATATGTTACCAAGACACATCACTTTCCACGTTTTCCTATCTTAGATCAATGTAGCGTGTCATAAGCAATGTCATCATTTCGTGGGCGATATACGATCATATTGTCCCTTTTGTGGATGATATGATCTCATCGCTCATTGTGAGTCCTCCCAAATATCTCACTACACAATTATAAAATAAAAGTTCTAAACAATTATAAAATAATAGATTTCAAAAGATCTTTTAAAGATGAGAAAGGAAAAACTTATTTGTTGTGTCTTTAAATTTTAAAATCATAATAATCATAATAATAATAATAATAATAATCATCATAAAAAAAAAAATAAAAAAAAAAATAATAATAATAATAATAATAATAATATCTTATTTGTAAAAGTATCATAATAATAATAATAATAATAATAATATCTGATTTGTAAAAATATAATAATAATAATAATAATAATAATAATAATAATAATAAAAATAATAAAAAAAAAATAATAATAATAATAATAACAATCATAATAATCATCATAAAAAAAAAAATAATAATAATAATAATAATAATAATAATAATAATAATAATCGTACTAATAATAATAATAATAATAATAATAATAATAATAATAATAATAATAATAATAATCGTACTAATAATAATAATAATAATAATAATAATAATTATTATTATTATTATTATTATTATTATTATTATTATGATAGTTTTACAAATCAGATGTTATTATTATTATTATTATTATTATTATTATTATTATTATTATTATTATTATTATTATTATTATTATGATGATGATGATGATGATAGTTTTACAAATCAGATGTTATTATTATTATTATTATTATTATTATTATTATTATTATTATTATTATTATTATTATTATTATTATTATTATTATTATTATTATTATTATTATTATTATTATTATTATTATTATTATTATTATTATTATTATTGTGATAGTTTTATAAATCAGATATTATTATTATTATTATTATTATTATTATTATTATTATTATCATTATTATTATCATAATAATAATAATAACAATAATAATAATAATAAATAATAAAAAATAATAATAATAATAATAATAATAATAATAATAATAATAATAATAATTATTATTATTATGATAGTTTTACAAATCAGATGTTATTATTATTATTATTATTATTATTATTATTATTATTATTATTATTATTATTATTATTATTATTATTATTATTATTATTATTATTATTATTATTATTATTATTATTATTATTATGATGATGATGATAGTTTTACAAATCAGATGTTATTATTATTATTATTATTATTATTATTATTATTATTATTATTATTATTATTATTATTATTATTATTATTATTATTATTATTATGATGATGATAGTTTTACAAATCAGATGTTATTATTATTATTATTATTATTATTATTATTATTATTATTATTATTATTATTATTATTATTATTATTATTATTATTATTATTATTATTGTGATAGTTTTATAAATCAGATATTATTATTATTATTATTATTATCATTATTATTATCATAATAATAATAATAACAATAATAATAATAATAATAATAATAATAATAAATTATAATAATAATAATAATAATAATAATAATAATAATAATAATAATAATAATAATAATAATAATAATAATAGTCTTAAATTATTGTTCAAGATGCACTAGAACATGTTTAATTTGTAAAACTAACTCATCGTCAAAATGAAATTGGTGAATTGGCAAAGAAGTTGTTTGACAACCAAATAGATCACTCAAACTCTCAAATATATTGACCAAACTTGACCCTACTTTTTGTTAGTTTCTGCGGAACAGTTAGACCTGCTCGTTTTATTTTTCATCACTATGGTCAACAAACATCTTACACCAGTTAGATGACCGTAGTGTTTGATTTTAATTTTAATACAAATCTTTGCTTAAAAAAAATGAATGTATAATATATATTCGATTTTAATTAAGTAAAATACTTCTGACGTTGTAGATTTGCTTAAAGATTACTGGCACACTCGTTTATTTTTCCCAACAGAGCTACCTCTGCAAAAGCATTATGGCAGGGCCTAGTCTGCCAAGAAAGGTTATTGGACGTCTCATAGGAGCATGTCTTTCTCTCCCTTCAAGTTGCTCAATTGCAGAGAAATTAAATGCATGTTTCATACGGTATCATTTTTTGAAATGCCAAAATTATTCAAAAATATCTTTAAATACTTTTCCAATAAAATTAGTTTTGCTTTCAAAATTGATAACTCGAAGTTAGTATATACTCGAAACATTTGCAGCTTATGACTCAATTTAAAACATAAACAGCTTCAATGTTTCATCTTCATTGATTTTATTGAAGTTCAAAACTACACCCTACACTCACTAATATGAAATGGGACTTCAACCCATACAAACTTGCAAACTTTTAATAAATCCCAACCTCATAACCATCCCTTTCACCCCAAAATAATCTATCCCCAATTGAAAACACTAACTAAAAACAAGACATAAATCAAAACAACAAAACAAGATACGATAAGCCAAAACTCTTAGTGATACATGCTATTTCTATGCATGTTTGGTTTGAAAATCCTTCATGAAAGCCACCAACTTTTCCACACCAGCCAAAGGCATAGCATTGTAAATCGAAGCTCTCATTCCACCAACAGATCTATGGCCCTTGAGCTGAACCATATTCTCCTTCCCAGCTTCCTTAATAAACTCACCTTCCAGCTCTGATTTCTCCAAAGTGAAAGGAACATTCATCAATGACCTCACAGATTTCTCAACAGGACACCTAAAAAACCCATTGCTCTCATCAATAGCATTGTACAGAAGCTCAGCTTTCCTCTTGTTCTTCTTCTCAACCTCAACCAAACCACCTTGTTCCAACAAATCCTCAAACACCAAACCACACATGTAAATCCCATAACAAGGTGGTGTGTTGTAGAGTGAATTGTTCTCAGCGTGAATCTTGTAATCGAGCATCACAGGAGTCAAACTTTGAGCATTTCCAATCAAATCGTTTCGAACAATCACAACGGTTACACCAGAGGGACCTACATTCTTCTGAGCACCAGCGTAGATCAAACCAAACTTCGAAACATCAACAGGTTTGGAACAGAAATTTGAAGACATATCAGCAACCAAAATCCCGCTTTGATTGTTGGGTGTTGGGTAGTTTTTGAACTCTACACCATGAATTGTTTCATTAGCACAAATATGCAAAAACCTAGCTTCTGGGTTCTGTTTCAAATCATCAAAAGATGGAATCTTTGTGTACTTTTCAGATTTCCCTGACCAAATTACATTCGGTTTACAATATTTCTGAGCTTCCTTGAAAGCTTTATCGCTCCAAGAACCGGTAACGATATAATCGACAGCATCATCGTTTTTGCATATGTTTAACGGCACGGCGGCGAACTGAGTGGTGGCGCCGCCTTGGAGGAAAAGAACGGAATACTCCGACGAGATTTCCAAAAGGGTACGCAGATCTGACTCTGCTTTTTGAATAATTGATAGAAATTCTTTACCTCTGTGACTCATTTCCATCACGCTCATACCGGATCCACGCCAGTTGTAGAGCTCCGATTGAGCCTTACGGAGGACGTTTTCAGGGAGGGTGGCGGGTCCGGCAGCGAAGTTGATGACGCGATCTGAGGATTGGGGTTGGGTTTGGGCTTGAGGCTGGGCTTGCGTGGTGGCGGCGCATTTGATGGAGATGGGTTTGAAGGTTGGTGCGTTGCGGAGAGAGATCGTTGGGGTGAAAGTGGAGATGGGTTTTCTGAGAAATGGGTTGTTGGTTTGAGGAAGAAGATGGGTTTGTGATGAAGTTGAGATTGATGTTGCCATGATCGTGCGAGAGGGTGAAAATTTCCGCGCAAAGTTTCGCTTTTGATTTAAGGCAAAGATCTAAGTTGAAGGAAGAGAGGTATATAAAGAGTGAGAGATTTTGAGGGTTATTTTGTTTTGTTTTGTTTTGTTTTTGGTAATGGAAAAGGAGAGACTCTTGTGGTGTTTGGTAAATATCTCAATCAAAGGAACAGAGGTATTTTAGGGGTCAAGATTGTTCATTGTATCAAGAGTTATTTATAGGATTATTTAAACTTTAATATCGCGTTAAAGTGTAAACTCTTAAAAAATGTTACTCAATTTAATTTATTTTATTATTAATTTTATTTTCTTCAGTCAAAGTTATAAACAAAAATAATCATTTTTAAAATGGATTAAGAAAATTAGTTAAATATAACCAAATTTTAAATTTTATATACAATGAGAGTAAGATTTACTATGATATATTTGATAAATCAACTATTAACATTAAATCATTTTGAAATAAATTAAAGTTATATAATAATATAAAAATTAATAACTTTTACTTATAATAGTAATAAAAATTTAAAGTTTTTTTTAATAGTGATCAGAGAGTATTAATTTTTAATATTAATTATTTAATTATTTTAATAAATTTTACAATTTTACATTATAATAATATACCATCAACACTTACTACTCTTTAGATATATTTATTTTTTCTTCTTCTTTTTCTTCTTACTCTCCATCACTAATTTCATTAATCTTCAATATAATTTCAAAATTTTCAGATTAAAAAAAGAGTTAATTTTGTTGCCATAAGACAAATAATCATGGAGAAAAACCGAATATTAATTATCTATTTGTTCTTATTTTAAAGCTAGTTTCTTTTGTTAACGGACTAATATGAAATATTAAATTAAATTATGGATCTTAAGATTAATTGAGTTTATAATTAAATTAAAAATTTATATAATGATTCAAATTAACTAATTGGGATATTTTTGAGGAATTTAATTTAAAAAAATAATACTTATTAGATAAAATACAAACATAAAATCTTAAATCTTAAATTAAATCGAACCTCAAAACTAATTAAGTATTTTATTTATTTATTATTATTATTATTATTATTAGTATTATTATTATGTTTTGAATTATGAATAAACATAATTGAATATTTTTTTGAAATCATATTTTTTCATCGAAAAATTTGAATTTGAAAAAGAAGTTATAATTGAAAAGATAATTAAAAAAGAAATTATTAATGTTATTCGAGTTCTTTAAAAAAGAGATTTGAAAAATAATAAGAAAAAATAAAATATATACTGATAATGTAAAATATTTTTACACCGTCAATAAATGAGAGACATGTATCTCGCTGCATCATATTTTTATTTTTAAAATAGTATGTTAATTTTATAGTATAAAATATTCATATTAGATGTCTTTGTAATACTATTTTACACCGACAGTGTATCATCTTTAAAAAAATATCTAATATTATTACATGAATTGAGACATTCTTTTTGGAATAATTGTGTATAAATAATAATAAATATAAATAAAATAAATTATTCCAAAAATTCGAACCTATTTAAATATTCGACATTTTTTTTAATTGATTATTAAAATAGGAAAAAATGTGACTAGAATGAATTTTAGATTTAATCTATATATTTTTTTAAAAAAGATTTAATTTAATATGTTATTAATTTTTAAAATTATAAAACTAATAAATTATTAAAATATTTAATTTTGTTTATAATTTTTTTTCTTCATTTTATTGATTATGATTTATTGACCATATAACTTTTTCTACACAAATAATATATATGCGATAAATTCTTAATTTTTTTTAATAATGTTAACAGGTGCCCTAAATTTTAAAAACACGCATTAAGAACTAAATGTAAATTTTTTTTAAAAATTGAACATTAATTTTATTAAAATTTAATAATTATTTTTTTCATTATATTTTTCAATACAAAGTTTTTGTTTGTAGATTTCTTAACAGCATTACTTTTTTTTATGGGTGCACTAAATTCTTCACTTTTATTGACACATATTACCTATTTATATTATACTATCGAGTAATATATTACAACCTAAACAATATCAACATAATATTATACTAAGAAATATTATTAGAAAGTAACAAGAATATACGTTTAAAACATATAAAACAAACAAAAAATATCAAATCAATAAATATTGACTTTAAAATTATTACATTTATCACATTAATGCTAAAATAAATAAATAAATTTTATATAAATTAACAACAAAATATCAGTCGTGTTTAATTCCATTTAAAAAACTAATTTGATATACAAAATAATTTGTTATTTTCACATAAATGTATTAAAAAACATCGAATAAAATTTGGTTTTATATCGTTGAGTATTGACCAGGTAAAAAAAGTGTATTATAGATATGTAATCAGTATTTAGTAGGTTATACTAGTATATGATTAATGAATTTAGATACAATACAACATGTAGCATCACTCAATGTTTTTTTAATACATTTAGTTTTAAAATTATTTTCTGAGTCTGATTCTATGTGGGTTTTGTGCTACCCAATCTAAATAGATTTTATTTTTAAAATTATTTTTTATAAAAAATTAAAATAAAAATTCTATAATATTTATTATAATTATAATAAAAAATTATTTTCTTAAAGATAATACATTTTTAAATATTATATTATATTTTATAAATACTATAGTATATTTTAAATATAATATATGATTAAATTGTATATAATAATAATAATAATAATAATAATAATAATAATCAAATATTTAAAATAAGATAAACTAATAGAATATGAGAAAATTGTGAAGTAAAATACAAAACAATTTAATATTAATTTGATTATATTAATGTATAATATTTATAAAAAAATATTAAACATAATATAGATAAAATTAAGTGAGATAAGAGAAATCAATGTGCTGTTTTGATGTGAGACGACATAAATACTAATATAATTTTTTAAAATTTATAGTTATATGGGTCTAACGGACTACTCAGGATCCATACGGGCTAACCCTAATGGATAGCAGACTTTTTATGGTCGGGCTAAAACTTTTTGAAAAATACGAGTTATAATTTTTAAGTTCCAAGCTCTATGATTTTCTAGGCTTGGCAGGTCGGCTCATACGAACTATCTCATTTTGACGGGTCTAGTTTTAAATAACACCTTTTGTAGAAATATGATAACCAATACAAATGCTTAGTAGTAAGCAGGGGTTTAGGGGCGAAAATATAACGAGTCATTAATATAGACCAATAACCTGATCTATTTAAGTCTGATTTGATCTTTTTTGCTCTCCTCTTGATTTTTACATCCATAATCAATACTTTAAATTGAGTAGTCAACCTCTCTATTGGAATAACTTTACACTCCAAACAAATCTTTCTACCTGACTTAATAAGAAAAAAATCTATTTGAGAACATGTCACTTCACTTTTATAAGTGATAAGATGCTCATCAAAAAGACTAGACGTAGATTTTTGGAAAAAAAAGTATTTAGTTAAATAGGCCAGATTTAAGATAATCTTGTTCATGTTAGCTTTGTTATGCATAGTCGGTTTCAAGCCTAGATAAAAGGAGAAAATTGTGTTATGCAGTCGACATTCAGCGTATAACTTTGTCAAATCTCCATGACATGGATCAACTACGAAACAATGTAAATATTATGTTGTTTTCCAGAAACAACGTGTTGTATGGCTCGAGTACAGTGTCAAAAACACTGGAGAAGACCTGAACTTTTGTGGCTTCTGCATGAATCCAAAAATATTTTACCAAGGCCAGATAAACTAGCCCATTCAATCTGTTGAAGTAGACTTCACATCCTCGAGTTGCAACACCACCAAAGAGATCAAACCCATTTTGCTTTAGGTTATCAAAATCTACAATAGTTTCACAGAGAACTTCCAATTCATTTGCTAGAGTAGATAAAGAGATCTCAGGGATGCCTTCCATCATACTAAATTCTTTTTGATAAGGCAAATATTGTTGATTTTGTTGTTGTTGTAGAAGCTCTTGTTGTTGATGTTGTTGGTCAACCATGGTTAGGGTTTTGAGAAAGGAGAGAGAGTTTGGAGGATGAAAAACTTTAAAGTATGGGTTGTGAAAAGAAGTTGTGTGGTGTGTGAGAAGTGAGTGCATCGTGGGTTTAAATCATAATAAAAATATTTATAAAATACTCCGTTTGACAAGGGAGGCAAAAATAAATGATTTTCTCTAAAACAGAAACAAATATCAATTAGGTCACATAAACCGTACAATTGGCTAAATGTATGACAGTTATCTTACAATAGAGCTACACATGTAACACTTGGTTTACACTGTAAAATATGAGGAATTAAAACGAGACACGTATACCTACCTTTGCTTACCTTTTCTGTTGACGCTTCTGGAAAATGACGGACTTTACAGGTTTTGATGATTCACTTTCTTTTGTATATCAGAGGCTATGTCTTCAGAGTTGAATTTGCTTTTTTTTTTCTTTCCAGAATCTTTGACTTTTCTCAGAATCTCACTATAGACTGAATTTGATTGAGAATCTGATCCAGATCATTTGATGATGCTGGCTCTACGATCCAGGACGACATGTTCTTCTTAGAAGACACATTTCTTTGCTAAATTACTTCCAAATTTATCTTTAGAGTCTTTCTTTTTTGAGTCCATTAGAAGATATGTCCTGAGATTCGCTTGTTCTTCATATCAGCTTAGCTTTCCTTTACATGTAGAGAGCATCCAATATTGAGGTATCATGAATGATACCTTATTTTTGCTAGAGAAAAGAGGGAAATTAAAAGTAGGAAGAAACTACAAAGTTGTTAACTTCTTTATTTTCTTCCCGGGTATAGGCATGACAGGAAAAACTTTTGGTTTAAATTAACCAATGCCTCCTTTCCCTTTGCAATATGATCATTGAATTCACAAACAATTCTTTTAATGAAGCCTTAATCTCTAGGTTTACTCCATAATTTTATAATTCTTCTATTTGATTATTCATTTTATGA